GATATTTGATCTATTCTATCGCCAAAAATTGTATTTATTTGGTTTGTAATGCTATTTTATCCAATTTTTGGCAACGAGATATGAGGACGGTCAAAAACAAAGAAAACTGTTTATTTCAGTGTTTATTTTGAGCGTTTCACTGGAGGCTCTAAGAACTTACGCATTTGTTCAAAGAGCATAAATCGGACATGTGATATTATTTTACATCTCCTCTGTCGATTAATAGCAAAATATGTAAATTTTGACCAAACATTTAAGAATGAAGCTATTTTGAAAATGCCACGCAAATAGCACTTTTCAAATTTTAGCGAGTGTGCTGTTGTTCCAACACACTTTCCTGAAAAGTGTAACGGAATCTGGAGTCCTCACTACTATCTGTGTTTACTATTAGGGCTGGTGTACCGAAAACAACAAAAACATTTTTGGCAACTAGTCTTTTCGAGCTACAGGAGCTCAATGAACTTTACTAATTTTCAACGATCAAAGTACTTATGACTTAATTTATGCATATTTGTGGCTACTCCATTTCTTACTCAAAATCATTATTTGAGGCAGTGCGTATTTTCAAAACCAGCACGGCTGTTTTGCTAAGGTGAGGATGTCTATAACTTTGTCCAAACTTGCCCCAAATTTAGTAATTAGGAAGGTACAAATGAACATCTTCTGTTTGACATTACGTTTAACTGTCTCATGTAGGCTAAAACATGTTGACAAAACTCCATTGAGTTAGTCTTGACTGCTGTCTTATGCTGTAAAAAACTAAAATTGCTGTCACTTACGGACTAATAAACACTCATTCAAAATATGTCTTAATGAAGAGAGCTTCGTGTCTTACCAGAGCTTGAGAACATCTCCATGAGAATGGATTGATTCAGTCATGTGTCATGCGCTTACATTGAAAATGTCATGAATCCATATTTAACTACATGGTACAGAAATGGTTTGTGTAAGATTGATACTTTTCCTGTTTTCACTCTAATTTATACCAACATTTACCTCATTATGAACCAAAAAGTAATTTTTTTGAAGACATAATTATGATGACAATTTCAGGCGGCAAGCACGTTGAAATGCTCATGTTTTTACGTGATACCGTAAAATATTAAAAGGTAAAGTAAAAAAAGTAAAATACAAAATCAGTGGCCACAAAAAGATTATTGAATTTGATTTTCCCCAATAGTTTTGATAATCACCGCTGGTGATTCATCGTCTATTTGTCTCTTAAAATTCAAAGAGCCTTTTCATACTTGGTAATAATAGATTATAAGTAAACGAATTTGGAGAGATTTATTTGCATCGCGTGACTTGTGTAAGAATTAATTGATTGTGTTGGCAGAAGAATTTGCAGCTACACATCTATGTTTTCGCCATTTTCCTTTAATTTTCATATTTTCTTTGTGTTATCAACTAGTCTCTGCCACCAAATAAGTAAAGTTCCATTCCTGGATGTGTTCTGAAAAAAGTACTTGAAACCCCGTGCACGCCGAACCAGTCCTTACCAAAACGGGTCAAACGATGTACTATATTCTCAGTAAAGGTTTAGACCTTTTCTTACCAGTTAAAGTCACATCCCTCTAAGATTGTGGAAAGCTTAGTTACCAGATCTTTTTTCCTATCTTGGCAACTATACGGAATCTCAAAAATTTAAACAAAGCGTGACTACGCTGAAAGTTTCAAGTTTCTTATTGTGTGAGAGGTCACACAAGCAGTATGAATCATAGCAAATAGGGTTTTTTAGACCAAGCTGACCAACAATGTTTTCCGGCATTTCACATCTTTCTTGCTCCTCTTCCTCTGCATAATTATATTTCCTCCACCTCAATTTCTCGGCTTTCCTGTCATCTTCTTGCATCTGCCAGCCTCGAGAAAAACCCCTGCACTTGAGTCTTCGTTAACCAGTCCTTTGTTTCAATGTGAGAACTTTCATGCAGGAATTATCTGGATTTCTTACCGCTCTCATATCTGCAGCTACTTTTTCGGGATCTGCCTTCATACAGGTTCTCCCTCTAAGGTCAAATTTCGTTGTGAGTTACTGTTTAACTTAAGAAGTGAAACGTGTGGATTCCTGGCTTCGTGGCTTATGTAGTGCCCGATTAAGCTGCATATCACTGCTAGGACTACCAGCTTCTTGCTGGTACTCTCGCTTGTGTAGTGTCTAAAAATGAAGAAGTATGCCACAAAAGGCAGCCACGAAGGCGAACAACAACAGTACACACAGTACACGTTTCTTTAATAATCTTCCCGCGCTCACACTTTCCCGGATGTATACTAAAGCAGTTTAACAAGGACTATGTGGACAAGAAGTTCCATGCCAGAGATCGAAATGTGAAAGAAGGAGACAGTGTTCTGCTTGAGAAGAAGAAAGAAAATAAGCTGTCACCTTGCTATGAGAAGGAACCATATCAGGTGATATCTCGTTATGGGGACCAGGTGGTGTTGCGATCGCCTCAAGGTGTCCAGTACAAACGCAGCCTTCAGCATATTAAGTCCTTTAATATGCCAGATCTAGAAGAACAGGAAACGCCACAACAGGACGCTAAACCACGGACTGAACCTAAGTCATTTGAGACGCCACCTGTGGCAGAGGATCAAGTACCAATGGCTGAATCACCACCAGAAGATGTACCTTCTACTGTACCTACAGCTGAGCAGCATGTGAGAAGATCCGGCAGAATTACGAGCCGTCCAAAGGCTCTGAGTGACTACGTTCTGTACTAAAACTAGTGACATTGGCATTTTCATATTACTGTTCGTTGTTATTACATGAGTGACATTGAAACGTTGTTTTATAAGCTGAACGGCCAAGGCTATGTTTATGTTTAGCGTGATTTTTGTCTTGAACATTTGGAATCGAATTGAACTTTTACGGTGTCTAAACAAAGTGGAAGTTTGTAATGTTTCTGTCTTTCGAGGTCAACCATCTAAGCGAAGAAAGAGAGGGAATGTAGTATACTAGGACAGCGGTTGTTTATGTAAAAGTATACATCCGGGAAAGTGTGAGCGCGGGAAGATTATTAAAGAAACGTGTACTGTGTGTACTGTTGTTGTTCGCCTTCGTGGCTGCCTTTTGTGGCATACTTCTTCATTTTTAGACACTACACTGGGGTTTTC